CGAAGCTTTACCTATAGGGCAAGAAAAAAAGCACCTGAATTTGGTTGACAGACAATCATATGTGATGTAATATTTTATACATATGTGTATGATTACATGCACACACACACAGAGTCTGAGTGAAATGGAGAATCAATAGCTAAACTTAATGTTACTACCAAGTCAAAGGACAGTCAGATATTGCAGCTACAACATTGCAGGTGATGAAAGAAATATCAATCACAACAATTTGTCTACATTGATTTTTTTGGCTTTTAAGATATGAGGAAAGGTAGTTGGTAACATGTCCTTTCTATGACCGTAGTTCTCTAATCTGCCTCCTCTCTGAAATGACAAAAAATAAATTATTTCTGGCTATAAGAATGAGGTGAAACAGTAAGTATGTAAGCTTTTTGATTAAGGTTTCCCTTCAGGTTTCTTGGCTTCCCTTTTTTTTGCCAGCTAGTACCTGTGAAGGGGCCAATATCTACACCTTTAATCCCCCTTTCGGAAGCTGTGGTAGGGAAGACGAAATAAGGACGTTCCCATAACAGCATGAAGATGCAACCATTTCTGGTATCAATTTATTAATTATAAACAAAGAATTAAGGAACACATATTTATAAGTTCCAGTGAAGCCAACTTCATCTATTTTTTTAAGATGATGGATTTTTAACACTATGCAAATAAAAACAGTGCTTACCTTGGCTGTGCAGCTTCACTGGCATGTGAAAAAGCTTGGTGGTCACAATGCAGGATAAAGACAATGGGAGCTAAAAGTTCATGCATACCCTAAACATAAAAGGAAGCAAAAGTAGAGTAAGGTTTTCCAGTCACATAATAGTTTATAATACATAGCATCAGGCAGCCAGCAATAATAGGTGCAAACTAACTAAAAGCAGGAACATTGACATTCTTAACAGAATGGTTTCAGAATCAATGGCTTTTATCTTAAATTCTGAGTAAATCCAAGTGTTTATTCTTCCACAAAATATGGAAGCAAGTTATTCTCCCTTTTTCTAACACAACAGACAACAAATTGACAATGGTAGTCAACCCTGCACCTGGCAGTTTACTCCAAGATCTATGTTCATAAGTACGAATTTTATTTACGATAATTACAATCATGATCCACAGTACAAAGATCTGCAATAGGGACAAATTACAAACTTTGAAATTATTTTTTATTTGATAATGTTCCAAAACCAGCATAGCAGTAGCCTTTAGAGGAGACAAGGGCAGCTATTTGGGAAATCAGAAAATGAAACTTACGTTCCTATGGACATGAGAAATAAAATGGGGTTTTTGCCTCTCTTTTTTTTTTTTTTTTCAAGTCATTATGTCAATATGAAAAATAAACTCATTATAACACAATGCATAGGAGACCTGGTACTGTTCCATTACAAACTATTACTTATATGTGCAATGTATATTAAGATACAGAAAAAATATAGAAACATGCAGGACCAGAAGAGAAAAAATTGGTGGGTAGTTGAGAACTTGGGCCAGCATTAGAAGCATCACTGGGCCACCCAGGCCAGCCATTGGTGCTTTTACCTGGAGCTCACCAGGAACAAAACAGGAGTCTTGATTTGCCTTGATTCACCTGGGGCTTGTCAATTTATTATCAGAAGCAGAAGCAACCACTTTAGGAAACAAACAATCCAGTTGGCAAGCAGCAATGCACTGGCAGGTAAAACTACAGCCTGCAGAACGAAACCTTATCCTCGGCAGATGTTCAGCCCCTTCCATCAGATTAGATCAGGGAAAAGGAGGATTTGGGGTATCATAACTGGGGAACTTGGTTATGTCAGGGGAGTTGGGCTCCCAGTGGTGGACTAGGATGGCAGGTAGGAACTACACAAGCTACAGGTTGGGGTGTAGCCATACAAAAGAAGTGAGGAGAGCCCTTCAGTGACGGCTCGGATGCGAGATGAAGGGTTGAGACCTGTCTGTCTGCCTCTGGACACAGGGATCACTCCAAGGCGGGGGAACTCCTGACCTCAGCCCAAAACCACCAACTACAGCCAGGCCTTGGTACCAGGCACCCAGGCTGCCACTGCTGGGTCTTGCTCTGGGTGGAGTCCTTGCCCTGGCTGCAGGAGGAAGAGTGAGCTGCCAGCAGTGCTCTAGTTCAAAGGTGCAACTACTTCACCAAGTGGAACCTCAGTCCCAGCTCCAGGTGCATGCTCTGGGCAGACAGGGGTGCTAGGAAGACCATCTTGTCTGTATCATTGGCAGAAAGAGCACTGGGGCTGGCCCATCAAGCTCATAGGCATTTCAGGCTGCTGCTGGGAGTCAGATGATGGGTCCTCAGACAGGAGCTGTTCTACTCTTATGCTTACATTTCCAAGCTAGGAAGCCTCTCCACTTGATTTTCCAGCCCTTTCAGTGACAGACAGACATGAGCCATGAAAGAGTCACATGCTTGTGCAGCTACCCTGCTGCTTTGCTGGTACATCACTTGATATTCCATGTAGCATTTGAGGAGTATTCAATACCAGTGAGTTAGCTTATCAACATCATATGTATCAAACAGATCCATTAACTACTAAAAACCTTTAACTTTTATTGGAAATAATGGGGATTTTCCTTAAGTGGTCCAAACTGAGCAGAGAGGTAGATGTGGAAGCCCTCTCTAGATCATTATCTATTTTGAGTGTGCTTGGATGCATGTTAGCGAATCTTAACTGTTTGTAAGAGGAAATTCCAATACCTAGCAGCGTTGAAGAAAAAAAAAAAGAGGTCTGGAAATTTCTCTGTGTGCTATCAACTGAAATCCTAGGAAATTTTATTTTAATTTCTTCAGGACTGAGATGTCTGTTATAGCCTCAACTGTAGGGTTGCAGCAATAGCACTCAGTTGACTGGGCAAAGCTAAAGACAGCAAGACTACTGAAGTTTGGAGTTTTTCTTTCTCTTCCTATTTCTGAACCTTTAGGGACTACTTTGAAAGATGAAGGCTAAATAGAAACTCAGTTAGGAAAAAAAAAGATTAAACCCAGTGTAGCCCCTTGATTTCAGGAGATGATGTAAAATTCCCAAACATGACAATATGGGGTAGATTACAAACTGACAACTTTACATTTCTGAAAGTCTTATGGTCACACCAAGAGGGAAAGGAATAGGAGAGACAGGGAGATAGATCCAGCATTAGACAATAAATATAAGTGGCAAAAATATCTAAATAAACTGTATATAACGTGGGTTGTATTTTCACACATACTCACAGCTCTCAGTTAATTAACAGCTCCATGTCTAATCTTTTATTCGCCCTGATATACTAACATGAAATAAGAGAAATGGAAATGACAAAAACTTGACTATCTAATAAAACTACCACCTAAGCTGTAAACATATAAGCTGAAGAAAAAGAAAGAGGACATAAAATAAGAATTAGTTACAAAAGATAAAAGCACATCATGCATTCTTCCAACATAATAATATATCAAATTTATAATAAAGTAGAATCATAATGTGGCTGCCCACATACAACAAAAACAAAACAAACAGATGATGAAATATCAGGATTTCAAAAAGATACCTCTGATCTTTCAGTTACAAGAGTACTTCAAATGTTTAGAGATTTTTAGCTTGGCAAGAAAAGCCACCAGTGTAATATGCATACACATATTTTTTCAATGCTGCAGTTTACTAAAACTCTTTAGTGTTAATAAATAAGTTGACAGAGCTCAGATAATTTTATGACACTTCCCAGCTACAACAAAATATTGATTTCATAATACAGTCTATGGTTTAGAAAGAAAACCAGAAATATAGCATTTCTACAATGAAAAGTGAATCAATGCATTTCAAAATTATATTGACTCCTCTAAGGGCAATCAAATCATGAGCAAACAATAGTTAGCCTAGTGATTTAGCTTAATTGTCACTATTTCTTTTCAGTGTAACTAGGACCAGAATTTTGGCACCACTCTTACAGAAGAATGTTAAGAGTAACTTTTACATATTCTTAAGTACAATATACTATTCTCTTTAGATTTTATATTTACAGCTGCTATTTAAAAATTCAACGATCCCAGTGAGGATTCTGTCTTTAAAATCTGTAATACAGCTTCACAACATTCTACTCCGTTTGACTAGGGACAGAAATATCTTTTTCCTCATCAAATAAAATGTTACTTCACGCTGGTCAAAAACCCACAAACCCTACTACAAAGGCAACTTTCATGCATATATGCATATTAAACAAACATTATTGATTGCTTCTTGTAAGACTATATGCTGATGCTATGTAATAGTTTCAATAAAATGTTGTGAACTTCAGATACACTTTATTTACATTTATAAGGATGCAAATTGTCAAGGAACTAGAACTTTTTCCAAATATTTTGAAAGAGAAACATTGAGTCCTGTACAGATGTTGACAGACAGAAGTATAAGTTTCCATTTATTGGCCAAGTGTTACAATTCTAATAGCAAATGTAGCTTTTCTGTGTGGTCATACAAATGAGAGAGGAATTCTCATAGAGAAAAACAGGACCAGTCCCATGATGGATACTAAATATGAAGACAAACTCCTTAATTTGGGCTTTGTATTCAGGTCACTGTGGAGAGAGCAGCTTGAAGGTGATCTGTTATTGATGAATTAATGGTAACCTTCATTATTTGCAAGAAAATACGCTAGGCTTTGATGTAGTGGAAATTATTATGGGAAGTGGGGCTTGAGTCAATGGTAAAAACAGAACCAATAAAAATAGTAGGACAGGAAGATTGACTGCAACATAGGCATTTGCTAAAAGAGGGGAAAAAAACTCCCTGTTGCCACCACAAACTCTATTTCCTATTAGGTAATTCAGGGAAGTGTACTGATGGACATGAAAGAAATCTAAAAAGAGAGAGACACGGGGACAAAAAAGCAGGATTGTTACTAATAAGCTAATAGGACCATTAATTAAAAAAAAAAACAACAAGCAAACAAAACCACCCTTTGAAAATGAGGTAAGAAAAAAGAAAAGCTCCTAATAGGAGTGACACATGTACACAACAAGAGAGGAAAACCACAGTCATTTGCTATTTTGTGGACTTGACACAGCACCATGAGACTTGGGCAATATACTGAACACACTTCAGAGAGATTAAATCAACAGTTTTTCATGATCCAAATTTATTTCATTTTCTGCACTTCACCTTTCCCCTTAGTCCTCTGGCAATCCCTTCCTGGAATTACTGCATTACTGATGCACACCAGTTGAAAACAGAGGTAAAGAAGTTTTCTTTGTCAACAGCCTGTAGGCTCGCAAAATTGAACCTGTTCTTTTATCTGCCTATGTTCATTTAGCCCACCAAGCAGTCTTTATTAAAGCTGAGGCATCAGGCAGTCAAAGTTCATTAATACCATTTATATAATCTCTGCAGTTTCAATTAACTCAGCAAGACATTCTACTACATGATAACAGTCTCATTAATTCAATAAAATCCCATAACTATTAACAATATGGTCTATGTTAAACGGGGTGTCACCTAGTAGAAAATAATAGCTTTAACAGCTTGTGATGAAACTCAGGGCTTTTTTTTTTTTTTAAATTTGATCTGGCTAAATATTCCATCCTTATGTAGAAAGGTATTATTTCTTGGTAAGGAATCAAGAGGATTTTAAATATGAGCAGAGGGTAATTAAGTCCTTTTAAGTCATATCAAAGAGTAAAATAATACTTCTTGTTCAATAAATGATAGACTAAATTAGCTGGAATGTGTTCTTCCATTTTCCCATCATCAGTACTCTGGCCTATATTCACCAGAAATGGGAGGCTGAATACTGCTGAAGTGTTTTCTTTAGCAGTGCCCTTCAAAATACAGCTCACAAATCTCATTTTTTTCTTTTTACCATGCAAGACTATTCCTTGCTTACAGTCTGTCAAACATGAGAAATAACCAGCTGATGGAGATTTGATATGTTTGATAACTATATATTTGATTTTTGATACAATCTTTAAGACAATTCTGCAGAAGTAACTGTTCCTTCTACTCATATGTGTTGGTCTTTTCATGAAACAACACTAATTTCCTGGCTTGAGGACAGGGTGGTCACAGACCATGCCTGAAAGTATACAGTGTCTTTTAAAAATCTTCACATTTACTGAACCTCTGGTTTTTTGACATTATTTTTTTTTTGTCTATGTGAGGTTTGCTGCTCTACAGTTTATCCTTTGTCCATGCACAGGGTATCCCTCAGTCAGTCCGTACTCACTCTACAGTTAAAAGCCTGGAGAAACAAATACAAATATACTTATGTTGATAACTCTGCGTATTGGTCTTGCTACATTAATTTAGTATCAAGCTTATACCCACTTCAAAACCTTCTGAACAAATGTTAAATTAATTTAGCCTGCATCCCATATGGATGCATAGTTATTGCAGCTTTAAGGCTTTCTTTACCATTTTATAAAAAATGGTTTGAGCAGGCTCTCCTTCAGGTAACACTGTAAAAGTAGTAGTTGTAGCACCCTTATCCTTCAGTCAAGAAGCATCTGCCAGCTGCATTGTATTTGGATGCTACAGGGTTAGATAAAGGATCTATTTGCTAACGTACTGCATAGCTTTAGCACTTTGAGGAAGAACTTAAAATTTTACATAAAACTTAAAATAGTAACTTTGCCTAAATTTCAGAAGTCACTATTTATGTTTTTTGTTTATTCAGTACCATTTTTAATCCTGCTGCATACTTGCTTTCTTCAGCTAAATACAGAAAACCTTTCTTTTTCTTTTTCTTTCTTAACCAACACTGAAGAAAAAGATGTTGTTTATTAAGAAATTTGAAGGTAGACAACTTAGCAACCTTGAAGAAAACAATTTGAGGGACTGTCTTATGAGGAAAAAGCATATGTTATTCAATGAGCTTACTTTTCTTACTATCCAGCTGACAAGCAGCTCTTTGATTACTTTAGCATTATGATACAACTTCAGATACAACAGAACTACATTATTGTCAAACCGTATAGAAGATGTTGAGTCAATGAATGCCACCTGTACAGTATTTTCATTACCTGTTTATAAAGCAACTGCTCATTTTCTCTGGCATAGCAGAACAGAACATCTGTAAGAATCTTCCTCACATTCTCTTGCTGGAAATACTGCATTTCAGGAAAGCTGAAAATGAAGAAATACAGTGGAAGTAAACAATACAGCGCACAGAATCTCAGTTGCTGGTCTTACAGACACGGTTTTAGGTAAGACAGCATCCCCCTTGTCTGCTTTCCCACCACTCCATGAATTGTGGGTGCTGCTAGAACAAGAATAGATCTAAAGACTTGTTATATTTGTTTTGCAACCAAAATTCTGAACCATGTTCTTTAATACACATCAGTCCGCTACATAGGTATGATGATATCACCAGTTATTTTTACATAAGTAATCCCTTTTAACAGTATGAAAACTAGAGACCTGCAAGAATGAAATACAACGGCAGATTGTTTTAATCATCAACCTCTTACACACAGCCAATCCACTGAAAATGAATGACTTGGAGAATCTAATCCAAATAAAATGATGTACCATAAGAGTATGTTCCCAACTGCCTAAAGGATCAAGTTCCTTTCCTCCTCCATGTCATGAAAACAAGTTGAGTTGCAGCAGAATGAAAGGAGGCAGAACGAGAGGCAATGACTGAAGCGAACACCTGCCCTCTCCTTCCTGCACACAGGCTCTTACTACCAAACCTAGCAGACCAGAAGACAGTTCTGGTCCCAGGTGGCACAGCACCCCAATAGTAACTTAACTCCAAGACTGTGCTCTGCCAATTGTCCCGTCCTTCACCAATGAATCTAAAACTTGCTAGGAACACTTAGAAAAGGAGTGTGATCAAAAAATCCAAGCAGACACTTCTCCCCACAAAAAAACAAGTCAGTTAAAACTAAAACTGTTGCAAACAGTTACCTATTGATTAATTTTATTCAGGTACTGGAAAAATAAGCACTGAAGACCAAATCTCCATAGATAAAAAACATACTTTATATGACATGTTCCCATTTTTTTAATCTGTGTTAGGTTGGCAACTGTACCTGGATCATCGGTCTGCCCTGCAGTTTCATGAATAGTGCTTAGCCTTGCTCTTAATTTTTCTCAAGATGAAAGTTGGGCAAAGGAAGAGAATAAGAGCTACAATATGTTAAAGAAGTTTGTAAAATTTCCAGTTCTACACTGGAATAAAATGGAAGAAAGAAGAGCATGTTAGAAGAAGCATACACACAAGGGTTCAATATTTCATGAACATTTGAAAAATGATTAGCATTTTACTGACATGATTATTAAATTATCTCACAACCAACATGAAAACCATTATCCTAGTTCCTGAGCTCTAAGTAAGCTCCAGCATATCTTACTAGCATCTTTTGTGATGCAACATAATTAGGCATTTCACTGTCTTTAGTAGCTGTCTCAAATAAACTTTAAAATTATGAAATCATTTGATACTCTGGCTGGGCAAACATCCTTTAAGTGAAATAGAATGAAGTGGAACCAGTGTGAGAATAAGAGAAAAAAGCCTCTGGGAAAATCCTGTTAACTGCGTATACTCCAGGAAAATGTAAATATTTACAACCTGTAACTATTCTGAAGCAACTCTCACCTGTGCATCCTGCTCCCTGACTGTTGGAAGTAGGAAATAAAGTGGTTATGCAGGATGCACTTTAATGAATAAGTGCACAAACAAAAGTGTTTTCATGCTTAACGAAGAAGTAACTAGATGGCAAAAACTATTTCATAAAGCAACCACCTCAATCCACATCCAGCTATATGGAACAATAACAAATAAAATAAAAAATATCTGGAAAGGTAGAATACAAAAAAGAAAGGAAAAAGTAAAGTTGGACAAAGAAAAACAGAAGAATACTTAAAAAGACAATAAGAGTAGGCCTCAGGCTAGACTGCTATAGTATTATATACAGGCTATATATATATATATACAGGCTATATATACAGGCTATAGTATTGTCACTTTTAAAATGAAATCACATGGATTGCAGGTAAGTTTTCTTCAAGCGAATTTTGTTTTTCCTGCTTCCCAAGTCTGAGCTACAATGCTAAATGCTGGACCAGTTATATTAAGGCTGTTGTAAAGCCTGTCATGGAGAAACAATATAGGGAATTATAATAAATTACTTCAGATAAAACTGTTAGTGTTAATAATTACGGTGGTCATCTCACAGAGGTGATGACAGGTGAGCACAGGAACATAACTAATTAAGGCTAGAAAGGTGCTTTGAAATCCTTGGGTGAAGGACCCGAATCAAGATCCAAGGCAGAGAAGACACCGTGGCATAAATGCAGCAATGCTGAAGTCCTGAGAAAGGCATTGGGATGAAGGGTGTAACATTTTCCTGGCACCTGGTGGGGGTAATGGTAGACCAACATTTGGAAACTTGTATGCACTTGTACTAATCATATTACTGTAAAGGAAGGACACAGCTGAGACCAAAAGTGCATTACAGCAGATGGCAATCGACATAATTTAGGGGTTTGAAGAGATTATTTCTGAAGGACTGTTATTCAGGCCTGCCCTATGAAGTTTAGGAAGAGAAGACTAACAAAGAAAACTCAAAAATACACAGAGATATCTGTGAGGATCTAATAATACCAGGGATTGTGACAGAAAGGATAATAACGAACTCAGGAATAAGCTGGCTGAAGTATTAATTGTAGTAAATGTAAATACAAGAGATCACGAGGGAACTATCAGTTCAGGATGGATTTTTACGGAGAATGTCATTTTATAATTAAAGCACTGTTTTAGAAATACAGTATCCTCAAATCAGGCAAGGTAAGAATACTTTTCAAGAACACGAGAATATTACTTTTAATTACATTTCTGAGAAAGACTGCATAAGGACATGGAAATTTTGCTATACTGTTTTACCACAACTGCTACAACTAAACAATGGTGCATTCAAGTCCCTGCTTTCTGAAATTGAAGAGCAGTGCAAGTTAAGTTATCATTTTTAAAACATTCCTTTAGCCCATTTAGGGGCCCCTACACCAGAGGCAGCCAGACTTTGACACAGAAGAAACTTAGGCTGGCAACCAAATAAAAGGATGCACAAATACATTATGAAATAAATTTGGTGGCAGACAGAAATGAGGCTCTTAACCACAGTGGAGTGACCAACTTTTCTTTCATGAACAGAGTCCATCCCCTGCCATTCCCCAATCCTGTTACTCAGCTAGAATGGGGAAAGCTACTAAACCAGAAGGAAGATGCTCTTGCAACAGTTTGGTAAAGAATAATAATAACCGTGCTGACCCATTGCTCACTTTTTTCTTGAAAAGGAGTAAATTGGTGTATAAAGGTAGCTCGCCCTTCCAGCAGTCCCTCCTCTTACACAGAAACTAGATTTTGTCTCCTGTGTTCATACTCAATGGACTGCTGTTTTTTCCCGTCTCTTCTTTATGCTTAGGAAGGATGTAGCTGCCTAATGGCTTCTCCACTAACTTTTTTATGGGTGGGGTTTTTTTTTGTTATTTGGGAGATGGAGGGTTTGAAACAGCACCATCCACCACTACTCATCTTCACACAGCTTCCATTGTCCTAAACTGTGATTGTTACTTCTGAAGCAGAAACTAGGTAGACCAATATATAAAAAAACTACTACAAAAGAAATCCACTTGATTAGTCTACTGGGAATGCCCCCTAAGCATTTTCTTTTCTTAAAATGCTAGAGAGAGAAAGAGGGTAATCAAATCTAGCCATTTACAATCCTAGATGTACAAGGTGATGCCAGCAACTAGACTGGTATTTTGATTTGACTGGTAGCTAGATGCTCTTGCATCTGCCAATCTGCTGATTTCCATTTCTGCAGAATATTTTAAAAAATTCTTCTGTATCACTTACCTTCTTAACCATCACAAAATAAATCAGCGTTGTTCCTTGGTACATCTTTTGAATGACAGTAATTAGTCATTGCATTCTTAAGTCTGTTATGAGTTACTATGGTGCTAGTTCATACACACCTTCTTTTCTTAGTAGAATAATAGAACGCAGTATTATAGTCATAACTTGGCTGGTCCTGCTACCTACATTTAAAGTAAGGCTTTTTACTTGCATTACAGTGAATCTCCCTTACCCTTCTTCCCACCTTCATTTTTAAAAGCTTCTCACTTGAGATAGAAAGAGATGGTGTTTGGTTCCAGCTCAAAAGTACACGTTTCTAGACCGCTGAAAGAAAATCCATTCTGAACCTCTCAACTACCGTAAAAAATAAATCAGGTGATTAATTAGAAATGTTGATTACTAATGAGTTAGGACTAACTTAACAAAATCCTTCTGTACTTCCCTTGTAAATATTGGAAGTTCTTATTATGCAACAGGCAAAAAATTATATTTAGACATTATAGCTTGGATTACTCTCGCCTGACTTTGGGTGACTACAGTTTAGTTAGGTCCAGGTGAGCTGGAAGCCTTTTATAATTACTGAAGAAAAACATACTTCTCTACAGTGTGATTCATCAGACCTATACTAGACATTTACTCTAGGAAGAGACGATTTGTGTCCTAGAAGTCTTCAGATACATAGACTCTAAAGTATTATTAGCCCAGTTGTGAGAATCTATGTTTTACAAATCTAATTATTAGGTGAGAGAAGGATTCACAAAATGCATATAAACACACACACACGAACAAACTTTATCACAGTTCCCTTTAGGTAACAGAATTCTGAAATTTAAAACAATTTAAACCAATACCAATTTTAAAAGCATATTTCTACCCACTTTTCCCATTTATTATTACTACACCTCAGAGAATTCTAATAAAAACATTATAGAGTAAACTTTTTACTGCTTCGACAGATGGGACTCTGGTTTGCTACCCTGTGTGCAGTTAGCATCACTCTCTACAGCATTATTTACTTGATGCTCTTGGATGATGGAGTACTGAACTCAATGACAAAGAATATAAAAACATTCATTAAATAACAAAGAGAAGCTAGAAGGTAATGATTATGGTAACTGAATACAATACTCAATTATTTTAACCTTTAATAAAAAGCATTGTAAGTTAAGGACAAATATTTAAATTGTAACTCCAGGAATTTATTTCAAGAATGGAAATGAAAAGGACAACATTAAAAAGAGGGTACTTACATTCCAAAGCCAAGGAATGTAGAAGTTACTGCTTCTTACACTAATGATAGTTTACAAACAGATACATATGTATACATAAAATGAACACTATGTTTTATGATTAGGCAAACAAGTGTCTATATAAATGCATGTAGTTTATCAAATAAATTCATGTTACTTTGATAAATTTTGCTCCTTCATTGCTTAACTTATTTTGATATTGATGACACATAATGGATGCTGCTCTTGGTTCAAGTAGACATTATTTTGTATAAATACATAAATGGAAATTTCTTTAGTCACTGTTACTGATATTAGTGAATATTACTCACTGTGAGAGCCTGGACTTTGTGCATATATATATTTTTAAATAAAAGTCTTACATCCAACACAACCTCCATACAACTTTTCATTCTCCAATTACAGTTTAGATATGTATATATTTTAAACTTAGAACATCCTGAGCTGTTTCCTTTAACAAACAAAAAATACCATCTGTGAGAATGCACATGAAAGCATACTCAGATTTTAATTATACATCTCATGGCAAAATGCATTCAAGAATGGGTCTAGGGATGGACATATAAAATATTCCAAAACCAGACAGCAATGATTTCTTCTGCATGACTTTGTTTCTGTAAATTAAAATGTGTGTGCATGGGATTTGTAAAATCTATGACTATCATCACTTTTTTCAAGTTATAAGGAAAAATATTTGCAATACAGTAAAATTTCACATGGTAGCAAACCAGTAACTGAATTTAATTAGATTTACACATCAGTCAATGCTTCCACTCTGAAAAGAAATGGTTTCAGGAACTGAGTGTTTTAACTCCAACAAGTTCCTAGACAGGAATGATCTAAGGGCCAAGAAGATGAAAACATAATGACAGTAATATTAGGACAAATTTTAAAAGGCATATGTGACAAATAACACTAGAAAAGTGACAAATAAAAATAGAAATGCTTAACTTTTCTAGATGAGTGACATTTCCCTTACTAATTACAAACTGCTTTTTTTATTACTGATTGAATAAGTGTTAAGAATTAAAGAAAGTCATCTGTTCAATCTTTCATTATGATCATAATTTAGTTACAAGACCTTTCAGTTTCTCTTACCTTCTCTTTGCTTCATATGGAAAACTCTACTTTAAATTTTACATAGTAATACACTTCCTAATATCTTAATTTAGAAGAGCTTTTCTTCAATGATACCAATAAATCTCCAGGGTTTAATGTTTAACTCAATTTTCTCATTTTTCACTCCAAGAACGCTGTATTTTTATACATTTAATGTATGTTTCTACACATTCATGTTCAACAATCCTGACATTTACACTAACCAAAGTCAAGAAAACACAATATAACATATACCACATAAAAATGCAGAATCTAAATTTATATATAGAAATTTCTTTAAAGATATACATACGTTCTTGTCACATCTTGTTCAATCATTGCTCGAAGCTCTTTATCCTGGAAAAATTTATTCCAAAGACTCTGAAATAAGGAAAAATAATTGTATGAAACACAGACTTCTACTAATACTTATGGCTTATATACTACATCAGCAAAGTACTATACAAATATTAACTAATTCATCCTCAACATTCCTGGTAGGTAGGTATATCAATATTTTATGGGTGAAAAAGAATGCTGGTGACCAGCCTAATGTATCTGAGAAAGTCAGTTCAGATCAGAGATTAAAACATTCAAGTTCCTGGATCCTTGTTCTAGGCTCACTCCATTTGCTCACTGGATGGTTGCAGGTCTGTGAGTTACTTGTAAGGGGTCTATAAAAAATATTTAGAAAGGCAGAGTAAATTCAAACTTACCAGAACCAGCAGCTCAACTGAAAGAAATTCAGTAGTTCACTCACAGGAAAAGGTCTATATCGCCATACTGTACTACATTTCTCCTATGAATGTACGGACTCTAATGGGAAGCTGCTGTAATTTCCATACTAAGAAATTGTCTGGAAGGAAGCTAGTTTGTCTTAGTGGAGGCAAAATTGAATAAGGAACGTATGATGATCAAATACCTATTATGAAAATGACATTATACTAATGGTACATATACACAGTGCAGATGAAGACTGGCCATTCTAAGAAAGTTCTGATAGAGAAAACCAAGGTACTTAAAGCTCACTGTCAACTATTCAAATAAAAAAATATTAAATAAAAGAGTTTGAAGTAGGTTTAGCTTCTATATCTGTGCTTACGACCATTTCCACTCTTTCTTTGGTTTCCGTGCCTTGTTTACCAATATTTTGCAAAAGCTAACCTGAAAGAAGTCAGCAAATGTTGTTTGTATGCTCCAGAAGAAGTATTGTAAAGCCTATTCTTTATTGTAAAGGGATGGCCATATTGATCAAAATACAGAAGGAACAAAATCTATAGCAGTCTTTTCACGCAAGTTAGTTTTCAGAGAGCAGCAGTGTCAGTGAATGAAATACTGTACAAAGAGAGTGGCTACAATACTTTCAGAATTTCTTGCTCCCCTGTAAACAATTCATTGCCGTGATGGCTTATGTTCCACAGAAAGAAAAGAGAAAGTAAATTAATGTTATCTAGGAGAAGGAAAGTAAAATAACAAAAAAGAAAATGTTAATTAGCTTCTATATTTGTGTTACAAACTATGAAAAAAACCCCAAACTTTAGAAGTATTTATATCCTTGACAATGTCTTAAGTAAAACTATTATCCTTTTAACTTGTAGCTCTTTTCATGCAGCTAGATCACATTTTGAAACTCCCCTGCCCCTGCTCCCACCCTGGTCCATCAGAGCAAAGGACGAAGGAAACACAATCTCCATTGCGAAAAGGAAGCAAAACCTGGGACACTGAAAGGGTAAAACCTTAAGTCGCTACAGAGGCTCAGAGGCACTTTGCTCTTCATTCCTATGCCTGGTTTGGCCCATGGCTTTGTTTTATAGATTAATCCCCTGCCACATACTCTGACATGTTAACCTTTGTCTTCTATCTCCTAAAGTCATCAAAGGCAGCAAGAAAGTTGTGCCACTGTGTATAATCACAAACTACAGCAGAAACACTTTAAATCTTTTACATTTGACACAACTTTCTGTCCAGCTGGATGCAAGAATGGTTTGATGGCATGCACAGTCATACTGGCTGCGGAGCCACCAATGTCTCTATGATCTATGCTTCCATGTTTCCACAAGCAAACCCATCACTCCTTCTATGTTAAATATGAAGCAGAGTACCACACTAAATACAAACAAAATATGGGCTTCCATTTTTGTGAACAAAATGGAAACACAAGCAGTATCAAAGATATCTGCGACAGTCTTTCCAGGTGTAAATCTCTTAAATGCAGCCAAACAAATTATTTTCATGGTATTAAGTTATTTTGAAAATGTGATAAAAAGAATTTTCAGAAATGGTAACATAATTAACACAGAAGCTTACAGATATGTGCTATAAAATACCTAACAGCTTTTCAGGTATCATAAAATGCAGCATAAAAAAAAAAAAAGCCTACCTAAAATTAAGCTCCCAAATCTCGATGTAAAACCTCATCAGAGGGTCATGACTTTGAAAATACCAAGCTACTAGGTGGTCCCATTAATTTCAGTGAGAGCTGGATACTCTGCACTTAATGACAGTCAGGCCAAATACTTCTACCACATTTTCAGTATTTCTTTAAAATCTGGATCTGTCATTTTGCAGCTGGCTGCTTTTTGATTAGAAAAGAAACTTTTTTTTCTTTTAACTGTATAAAGAAAAAGAATTAAAAACCTTGGAAGAAATGCATATTTTGCAGCCTAGTGCTTTAGACATTAACTCAGCACGTAGACGACTCAGACATACAACAATTCTATTTTTGCTGGAGAAAAACTTCCAAAGCTGAACAGTCTTCCAGAGGAGGGTTCTTAAGTATTTGCTGTTAACAGCATTCCCTTCATATTGACTATTTAAACACTCCTTCAATTAGAGCCATTTTGCATATAAAATGAAAACACACAGCAATAAAAAAGCGTATCAGTCAAAGAAAGTATATGCTGTGAAACTAGACGTATAGTCCAGCACCAATTTTTTGTTCATCACAGCCTTCCCTATGATAAGCCCTGAAAAAATCAGATATTAACCTGGAAGCGTGCATTTCTGGTTGTTCAGCAGAGCCTGTGAACCACTGTTAACACAAATCAGTTAGGAAATTTAGGAGGGAGATTTTAGCACCTGCCATTTTTCCTTCTTCAGCAAGAACTCACTTGTGTCAGTATGATGATGATGAGAATTTTAGTAGCACATATGTTGATAGAACCAAGGGTCAACTTACCCCCTCGTCCTGAGAGAGTGGGTTGTTGATTATCAGATCTTGCTGTCCTGCTTTCCGAGGGTTTGTAATGTGCTGGGTAAAAACAGAAAAAAATCAAATCCTCTTCTGTTATATCGTAAGTATTAATACCTATGTCAATGCATGAGAGGAGAGAACCTATTTTGTACCAACTTACAATTTCTTTGATCTTATTGTAAGAAGTTCTTAAGTCTGAAGTGGTTTTAATCCATTGACTTCTGTCTTGGGGTAGAACTTCCAGAAATAACTATCAACAAAACAAAATAAATCCATTAAGTTTAATCAATTTAACATAGCTTTCCATATAAATCCTACCAGACAGCATAAACCATCTCAGAAAGGAGAAGCAAGTACTCTACACATAAGGAGGAGAAAGCAAAGACCTATAAAATACTCCTGGCTTTAGTACTTTCCAGTCAATAAATAAGAAGCTAGAAACAACAACAGTTCTACAGTAGTAAATAAAGCATTAAAAAACCCTGAAGCCACAAACTCAAGCTTTGTAAACCGTCACAACTTCAGTAACGTTGATTGAGACTTCCAAGGCAGAAACAAAATGCAAAGAAGAGATGAAAATAAATATACAAAACTTGAAGCTATTTACATAACTCTGATGAGCTAATGCAACATGCTTAAAACCAAACATGAACGAAGAGCAGAAGCTAAGCACTCAGAGATATACTCTACCTAAGGAACGTGGAAAGGGAAAAATCTTAGTCTATAGAAAAGTAACATGTTCTAGAATTCTGCAAGACAAAGAGTTGATTTTGCAAAAAGTCCTTGAAAATGCCTATATCTCAGTTCTTTCACATTTCTGTTTAAAAAGGGTTAGAAAGAAACCTCTATAGGAAAATACTATTTAATTGCATATAAAATAAGGAAAAAACCCAGAGTATTTTCTTGCTTTTTAAATGTTTTTATTTACACATTATAAAGTGTTATGAAACAGTAAATACTGACAAACAAAAAACATTCCCAAATTACTAAAAACACTTAAATATTTCAGAACTCAACAAAAAAATTTCTAATATTTTTAAAGCAGGCAGTCGAAAACAGAGCCCTAACCCGTACTGGGACATACAAATAAAACCAGCCTTATTTCTAAAATAAAACCACTACTTGATTTAATTAGTGGACAGTGAGGGACTTGATGATTTTGTTAGTTCAGGGTTTTGAGTTACGGCCTCCTAATACAGAGGCTCAAGAAGAAGTGCACTGATAAAACAATGCTTATGGCATATATTCATCTGGCCTCCTGAAGAAAGTATTTTCATTAACTTAAAATTTGTTCAATGGGACATATATTTCAAACGTCAAGCTTCAATTTTCAAATTTCTTTCGTTCATATACAAAGAGTATTTTCATCTTCCTTTTGTAGGTCTTTGTGTCAAAGTGAAGCTTGAGAAATTCCAAGTGAGGTAATTTAAATTACCAGTGTTAACATACAGCATCTCTGCTAGGGAAACGTTCTCTACTATCAAAGTTAGTGCAGAACAGAAGACATGATGCCAGTGCAACAAAATTCTGTTGGACTTCATACAACATCTCAGTATTACTTTGCTTTCTTTCTCTCTTCCTTCCCCTGCAACTTTTAAAAAATACAGTAAGCGACCTCTGAGGACCTGGTATGTTTTAAGATGGGAAGACCTGGCTTCTCTCTCTGTCCAGTCATTACAAGATGGATTGGTCCTCATTTTCTCAGTTGACTGGGAAAAGCTGCTAGCAGAAGCATCAGACTGATTTTAAAGGAGTCCCAAGTTCCACAAAACATAAACTGTGAGACAAACTGCCTTTTTATTTCCAGTGCACGATTTCACTGCACAGAGACCGAGAAGAGAGATGGCTGTGTGGCACTCAGTTCTAAACACACCACCCAGCACAAAGAGATTCTTTCCTAGGAATCTTTTGCTATCATCTGCAATTCAGCTTTAAGGCAGCTCAATATGATTAGCAAATGTCCTATGAATTATAAAAATGAGTAGGAAAACATTGGGATGAAGTCTTTTGGAAAATTCATGATTCTTTGCATCAATAATCTTCCAGCGCATCAGGTAATGTGTTGATATATTGCAACCACAAACTGTAAATAAATATTTTCTCTTCTTACCTTCCAGCAAACACTACGGAACCTGCTGCTTCTCAGCTGCCCATTAATCCCCTTCAGCCGTATAGTTGCCAAGTAATTGTTGTTTACAAATAGTTCTTCCCATTCTTTACTGTGTGCAAAAGCAAAAGGAATGAACATTTAAACAACAACAAAAAAGTCTTAGCTGATTTAAGGACTATATGACACTACACAATTTTGGATAAGCAGAGGAAAGGAACTTTTTTAAATGTATGTATTTAGTTGTGTACCATTTCTAAACGCATGGCTGTCTTTTTGGACACATTTCTTCTTTGGATTTAATGAATATGTAGATCGCTATAATTATGCCAGCTACTGAAATTCATAATGTCTATGGAGGCTATTCCATTTCCTCTAAAATGTTGGTACTGCAGTTCAGTGAATAAACAAGAAAAATGAATATTAATATAAGCACATTCATGTTTCAGCTGTAGACAAAGAAGTACCTATTCCAAAAATATGCAACAGAAAAGTACACTGTTGACTGTATTAGCTCCTCACATGACATATTTGCTTAAATGAACCTTCTTTTCTTCTTAATGCCAAGCTGGGCAGTTAAGCATAATAGAAGATGACTTTCTTTAACATTTAGTGCTATTTACTATTGAAATCACTCCTACTTCTTTCTACATGATCAGTTTTAAAATTTTAACAGGTGCTAGCAAATTTAAAAAAACATCAAAAAATTAAAAAGCCTCACTGTATAAACTGTTAAAGGCAAGCTTGAGTACTTTGCAGTACCTATGGCTGACTAGATAAACAACCTAAATATGCCTCCCAGGCATGCAGGCACCAGGGGCCTAACACCTGTGCCTCATTAATATACAAGTAAATCTGCTCTACTGGGAAACAATTGGAAATTAATTGTCCCAAACCATCTACTGAGTTTGAATAAAAGAATTAAATCTATATTTCCTGCACCTTCTACTGAAACAAATCTCAAGAACAGGATAAGCCGTTTGATGGTCTTAGTAGCCCAAGACTTGCTCGCAGACTTTCTGCAACCACTCTAAAATCCAAAGGGTAATTTCAATGTAAAGAGCTGGGTTATGTGTGGGGAAATGTGTTTCAGATTTATTTTCAATGCATGTCCTTAAGGTGAACATCTCCCTCTCTCACTGTCACATGGGAGACTATTACTTCTCCCTGGGAGACCAAATGAAACCAGAAAAAGGGAAGCTACTATTGTGACTCCAGGGTAAGATCTCACCAGATTTCCTTTGCTAAGGAGGGTCACAGAGTGGGTTATACTAAATACCAACAAACTTTGGTTTTGCAAACTGCCCTAAATATATGCAAGCTAGAGTTAGATAGTTTTCAGCCTTTTAAGCTGAGTTGTGAGGGTGACTTTTTTTAAACCCTGTTTTAGATAAAACTTATTCAGTTTCAGAACAGAATTATATGATACAGTTGCTGGGAATAGTTGGGGGATGGACTTGGCAAGCCAGGAAACGACGGTCCTGTTCCTCTGAGACAGGACTGAACTTACAAGCCACACTGAGACCAGAAGCGTTGTGTTTGTGAATGCATCACCTTTCAGCTAGGATTGTTTTCTAAAAAAAAATGGGTGTTTACTTCTGGGCTTTGATTATTAACTACTTTTTGAAAAGCGAAGGTACTCCAGATCAGGACACAGACAACTAAAGTAGTGTTAGCTTGCAGGGGTTAGGGCTGCTTTCAGCTTCTGCCAACTGCCAATATTCCCAAGTGACCAAAATAGCAGCAAGTAACTCCAATGGCTTGGGCAGCTTCCTTCCTCCCTGCCACATCCCCCACTCTCCAAGTCAGAAAGACTATCTGGTTATTTCACTGGCTCCCTGTCTCCCATACATCCTCACCTTCTGCAGTAAGCTGCCTACGATTGTTTACCACGATTCCGTCTCCTTTAAATACAACGTATGGTATATAGCAGACACAGCTTGAGAAAAATCTGGCCCTTTCTTTCACAGTCATTTATACTTCAGTAACTACAGTATATTATGCCTATCTAAATAACCCTCCTGTTTCTATCATGTATAATATTCTTCGTTTGCCATTGTAAATTTTGTAGCATCATTGGCCATTATAACTACTGCCAAGCTGCCTCCCTAAGGTAGCGATGCTTCAAGAGTGACACATTCCCCTGCGCACACAACAGGTCAGACTCTGAAGCTATTCACATTGTTCTGCAAGTGGATGACATTCCCACAACGCCTTTGAAAATGCCGGTATGTCAGCTGAGTTAGCAAAAGGTTTCAACTAGTGTAACTGTGAATAGAAAGAACAGAGAGGAAAGAAACTCCTCAGGTTATTTTTTTCACCAACTGCTGGGAGCGATTGCTACACAGTAAGAAAGTAATTTCAACACTTCTTAAATTGTATTAGTGCAGATACTACGCTTTGTCTTTTTTTTTTTAATTTGTAATGCAATTCCAAACACGTTTTGAACAAAATTACATTTAAAACAGCCAAAAGAAATTTGGCAAGATCATATCTCCTCCACATCCCCCCTTGGCTGCTGGGATCACTAAAAAGAAAAGTTATGAGCAACTGAAAAAAAAAAGACTTGGAAGCTGGAATCTGCTTCAGTTTTAGTAGAGCTGAATGATACCTAAAATCGTTTCTGAACAGCATTCACTAATTCATTTCTCAAATATTTTGAATGAAGGCTAATAAATAAGCCTTACAGTTCTAGAGACTGCTTCAATAATGTGTCATATCAACAAGCTATCAATTCTAAAAGGATAATTTTTAATATTATATAGCCCTACTCTGTAAACTAATATCTATGAGCCTTGTTAACCCGAGCTTGCAGAAAACTCATCGGTCAAAGTGAAATGAGCAATGAAGATTGGAACTCAAGTCTACCACATCCCATTTGCTTCACTGAAGTGAAAGACTTCAAGAGCCAATTGGAACCACTTAAACTATGAATAAGCACAAGCAATTGTTTTTAATCAAACTAGAAAATTAAATGCATAATCATGTGTTAATACCACCTTTAGGTTGTACAATTAAAATAAAGGCAAATGGCAATGTTAATGTTTTCTGGTTGCTTTGTACATATTTTTCATTTCATTTTCTTATTTAAATATCCTAATATACTATCGTACATATTGTAAAGTTTTCATAATATATGGCCTGCACAAGGAAAAAGTAATTGGATTAATGTTTCTTTATGAAACTTAATTTCACATGCTGTATCTACGCAGTAACTGTCCAGTGTAAAATATTTATTGGCATGAGTTAGGGACAGTTGCATTACTTAGAAGTGGGAAAAGTGCTCGATATGTATGAATGAAAAAGCAAGCAAATCAATGGAAGGGATGAAGGTTGCAGATTCGTTCTGCAAGATTTGTTCTTCGTTCTCATCTGTTCCTTTCCATCTTTTGAAACGTGCATTTATACCATAACCACGAGAGTTTGAATCTGTCTGCAAAAGAATTTTATACTGGGGTCCACTCTCATACACACACTTTCTTGCTTATAAGGAATGAGGTTCCTCTCCTAGCAAACCATATATAAGCATATTTATTCTTCTCTTTCTAACAGGATGTGTTTTGTGGATCTGATGCTTGTTAAGACAATTACCAACATTAGATTTTCAGAGATAAAAGTCCCAAGTCTTGGAAGAGAAATGTCTCTCTCTGACGACACACTGTAAGGAAGGGAGCACAAAAAGCAGAACTTTACATCAGAAAGTCTAAGTAAAATTTTACATGCACTTAAATATCATTTTTTAAAAGGTATTTAAATCCCTGAGGTCTGGCATCTGAGTAAAAGACACTGGAATGCCACTACGGCACAGCTATGGAGGAACAAAGAATTATAAACTCTTTAAGAATGAGTGACACCAATAACGTAACAAGACGCCTGGAAAATAATTCTGGCATTCAAATAGTAGTTCCCAGAGTTTTACTGAGGCAACACTGAGCTGTGGTAGGGTTGGGGAGAGGTAACTAAGACTTTCTTCCACCGATAGCCAGTAGTGGAACATCAGCCTCTGGCTCTGCTACTAAATTTCAATCTGCAGCATAACGGCAAAACCAATGCACCGAACACAGATATGCAGAAGAATGCAACTGTAGCCCAGCTAAGCTCATCACAAAATAAATACTCTATTCGGAAGAGGAAGAAATACAATTGAGGAAGAGTGGTACAGCACAGACCGTAATCACCGCTAGTTAACTTCTGCAGTTACCTACTTACAGGATAAAGCTGCTAATTTGTACAAATGCAGATCCTTCCAAAGTGTAAAGCTAGTCTAAGAAGCTTTTTTGTACTACGATGTTCAGACAACATCAAACTCTGTGGAAGACACTAAAACCCATAGAAATGTAAAAATGTGAATAGCCACATCACACTACAATCTCTGTCACTGTAAAAGGGCAAAGATTTAGTTCTGGGACTGCAGGGGCTCAGACCTACCAGGTACATATTACTGTCCACAATTACTTCACTTTCAATTGAAACTGTGGGTAAGAAAGAAACCAGTATCTATCAGGTCATTAGTCAGTGGGTATAGTTATTTTATCTCATGCATTTTCAAAATATTTTATGCCAAGTTTAGAAATCCCTTTTTTTGGGTCCATGATGAAACAAGCCCAATTCAATATTTACAACAACATATAGATAACAAGGACTATTTCTCAGTTCATGAAAGAATACTGCAATACTATTGAAAGGTGTGAACATTTGCATACATATTTGAGATTTCAATCTAAATCTCGAGCTTATTCTACCCTCTAGACCAATATTGAAGGATAAAATGGATAGTCTCATAGAGATCCAAAGAAAACTCTTGAGCAGTGCTGCTAGTATTGGCAAAATCATCTAAAACAAAATGGTGTGCATGCTCCCAGAAAAGCCAATTTCACTTTTTCATACTGTTTTTTGTTAATCTTCAGAATGTGCTTTTTAAAATGTTAAGACCCAAAATCAGTTTCCCAGAGGCACCCAATGAAGCAACAGGCTACTGAACAGGCCGTCAGAAAGAAAACAAATTCTCGAATTATTGTGTCGTATCTTTTGCAATATGAGGTCTTTATTGATAGGAACATCAATAAGTGAATGTAGTACCTATAGTTAAACAGAGGCAACAGTTCTTTTCAA